GTAGATTTTATTAGGGTACACCTTCCCGCCATACTAAGCCATTTTGCATTCCAATTATTCAACCTTGCCCGCATTTTATCAATTATAGGTTGGAAGTCTTTGTGCCTGGGTTGGTTTTTGAGCATTGGAAAACCTAGGTAGGTGTCAAAGTCCTTACTAATTTTTATGTCAAAACAAGTAGTAGCCCCATTAATATTACCATTTGTGCAAGATTTTGATAGTAACAACTTTGATTTGTCTTTGTGTATATTTAGACCAGACAAGTGACAAAATTTCTCCATACTATTCCACATAGTAGTGATAATTTTGTTGTTTGCACGACCCATTAAGGTTAAGTCGTTGGCAAAGAACAAGTGGGATAGGGGTGGACATTTTTTGTTCAAAATAATTGGGTCCCAATTAAGGGTGTCCACTTGATGCTCAATATTTTTGGACAACATGTCCATGCATAAGATGAATAGATAAGGTGACATTGGGTCCCCTTGTCTAATTCCCCTTGTAGGATAGAATTCCTCCGTTTTATTCCCATTAACTAAGATAGAGATAGTACTTGTTGATATGCTGTTAAGGATTAGGGCAGATATATTAGGAGGGAAGTTGTAAAATGTTAAGGTTCTGTAGACGAATGACCACTCTAATTTGTCGAAAGCATTTTCTAGATCAAGCTTTAGAATGCAATTTCTGTTTCTTGTTTTGTTGTTACAACGTTTTAATACTTCTTGAATAATGATAGCATTATCTGTGGCTCGTCTGTTTTTGACAAAACTACTTTGTTGATCACTAATAAGATGCTTGAGGAATGGTTTGATGTGGTTAGCAATCACTTTAGTGACCACTTTATACAAAGTGTTACAAAGGCTAATTGGCCTAAAGTTTTGTATTTTGTTTGCATTATTGAATTTAGGGATCAAACATAAGTAGGTTTTATTAATGTCATGAGGCATAACCTTTGAGTTAAAAAATTTCTGGCATAAGTTAATAACCTTACTTCCTAGAATTGGCTAGAATTTCTGGAAGAAAAAGGGATGTAGACCATCGGGTCCAGGAGTCTTGCATGGTTTAAAGGAAAAATGGCTTTCCTAATCTCATGATTTTTTAGTTTACTATCAAGGCTGGACGGGTCAAGTTTCTTGTAGGTAGTGTTTTCCAATTGAATGGCTTTCCAATTTGTGTGTTCATGAGATGTGGTGAAAATATTATGAAAATGATTGGAGACATAATCAATCAGAGCCGTTTGATTTTCTATCCAATTTCCATTGTTATCCTTACAAAAATATTATTATTTCTTTGTCTTCGGTTAGTGGCTTGAATATGAAAATGCTTAGTATTAGCATCCCCTTCATTTAGCCAATTGATCCTAGATCGTAATTTCTAGTAGTCCTCCTCTAGTTTAAGTATTGAATCGTAATCTTCTACAAGTTTTACCTCTAGGTCTCTAAGAAATTGGCTATTTTGGAAACTAGGAGAGTTTTGAATACCATTGATACGTTTAGTAAATTTTTTTTCCTAGCAAAGATATTCCCAAAGGTAGCTTGTTTCCATTCTAATATGCTTTTGTGAAAATAATCAGTCCCATTTATTATATCCCTATTTTCCCAACTTTCTTTCACAACTTTTGGGAAGTATGGGTGCGAGGACCAGAAGGTTTCCAGCCTAAAAGGCCTCACATGATTATTATTAATAATGTTATTAAGGTTAACCAAGATGGGATTATGGTCACAGTGAATTTTTGGAAGATGTGTTACCATTACATTATTGAATTCCTGCAACCATTCTGAGTTTGAGTAAACCCTATCTGAACTCTCCATAATTAGACCCCCTTCCTCCTACGATGGTTGGATCATGTATATTTGCACCCTTTGAAACCTAGATCTATAAGGTTACAATAGTTTAGGCAGTTAATTAGGCTTTTGGCCCTTTTTTGATTAATAGGCATGTCCCCAAACTTATCCGCTAAATCAATTATTTCATTAAAATCCCCCGTAACTAGCCAAGGTCCCTTATACTTATCAAATATTAATTTAATGTTATCCCATAACAAGTGTCTATAGGCTAAGTCATTGCTAGCATAAATAGTAGAGAATAACCAAGTAAGGTTTTTGGGTTTTACCTCTATCATTACATGGATTGATTGACCATTCCTAGTGAAGTTGCTGACCTTCACCACCTCATTATTCCAAAGGAGAACCATGCCTCCAGAATTGGCAATGGCAGGCACTTCAACCATTTATGTGAAGTGATACTTCTCAAGGATGGATATATGTGTTTCCAGCAAAGTAACTAAACAAGGCCTATGTGCATTCATAAGCTCACGAAAGTGCCTCCTAAAGTTTTCATTGTTTGTTCCTCTAACGTTCCAAATAATGATATTATTAGGTTGATACATGGGATTCATGTTGGGTGGGATGTTGTTGGGGTTCTTCCTTAAAGAGGGAACCAGTATCACCACATTCTTTCCTATAGTGGGATCGTGAGGAGAGCGGATGTCCAAGGAGCACTTGTAAAGTGTCATTGGGCAACTGAAGATAGACTTTCTGTCTAGAATTTCCTTGAAGATGAGTATTTTTACCTCGCTTAGGCTTGAAAAATCCACTTCCAGCTCCCCCAAGTGTGCTAAGTCGTCCTCTTCCTCCTCTTCTTCCTCTCGAATCCCTTCCTAATTCTGCATGTTTTGAACTGGTGGTTGATCTTCCATTGGCTCTGGTTGATAACCTAGTGGTTGGTCTTGCATGTGTTGTGGAGTCCACTATGTGAAGATAGGGTTTAGGAGCATCAGTTCCTCTGGTGCAAAGAAGGGAAGATTGATTGATAGGCGGGTTTTGAGGTAGCTGTTGGTTGGAATTGTGGGGTATATTCCACATTTGCTGCATGTTGTGAACTAGGTTTTGATTTAGTGAGGGTGCTAGGGGTTGTAGTATATTTCTCATCCACATTTGATTTATGTAGTTGTTCATAGCTAGACTCGTCCCCTCCGAGATTAGTTGTGCAAGAAAGTGTGTTTTGGATGATTAGAATAGACTCCTGGCCATTGATCTCCATGTTGAAGGAGATGGCATGCCCTTGAAGGCCCAGTTCCACCCATGATTGGGGTACATGGTTGGGTGGGCTCGGAGGTTGGGCATAAATAACTGGATTTGGCTGGATTTGATGAGGGAGTGGTGGTAGGTTGTTCATTCTGTGATTCCTTGAGAGGTGAATTAGTTGAATCGAGCGATATCCCCTTCTCAAGGTTAGTGGTGGTCTTGACATTGTTAGTGGCTTGAGGTAATATAGGAGGGATACTATCTACTTGTGTAATAGGGTTAGTAATGATTTGCTCTACTTTTGTAGTATTTGAGAGGGGTTGCATGTGATTTATAATCAGATATTTCAAATCTTGCATGGATTTGATTTCATCCACTTGGCTGTCTTCAACGTCCATGTGTTGCATGGTTAAGTTAGAATCAGGGGGGAGGTTTTGCATGGTAGCTTCTAGTAATATTTTTTCAATTTCATTTGATTGGTTGTTAATGTTAACAGGGGGCTGCTAGTAGGGGAAATAATGGTGTTTCGACTGCTTTTGTTGGTTATTGTCACACCTCCTTTTTTACACCCCGAGGGTATATGGGAGTTTTTCCAATTAAAGTGACATTATTCGAAATGAGATTATCTAAATTATCAGAGTTGCTACTTGGAATATTTTAATCGGTGTCCCAAGTCACCGATTTATTTTAAAATCCTAAATCGAGGAAATTTCGACTTTACTTTATAAGTCTGCGAATCAGAAATTCTAGATAAGGAATTCTGTTAACCCGGGAGAAGGTGTTAGGCATTCCCGGGTTCTGTGATTCGAGCACGGTCGCTTTAACTATCAATAATTGACCTATTATCTGATTTACTATGTGTTTTAAACCTATGGTGCATTCTTAACTTTATAACCGCTTTAACATTAATTAATGTTACATATTGCGAATCATGTCAGGGGAACCGTACCCACGATCTACAACATATTTAAAGATTAAATTATGGCCGGATCACATAAATGTACCCCCAGATTTTAGTAATTAAGTGTCACAAACACGTCACGGGAACCGTACCCGCAGCTATGACAATTATTTAGTTAACACGCCTAAAGCAAACTACTAAAGTTCAAGGCATTTCTATACTAATTTTGTATTTATATGAGGGCTATAAATTATAGGATTTTATTTGTGTATGGCACACCTCAAATTATTTTCTAAAAAGAATTATCTCTTAATCTAATTGTATGAGGGCCATGTATCATAGGTTTTATTTGGGCATGGCACACCACAAATTATTTTGAAAGAAAGAAATTGGTATTTTTTCGTTCAAAAGGGAAATGAACAAGGCTCTACTTTAATCTAATTAGAATTAAGTATCACAACCACGTCACGGGAGTCGTATCCATAGTTGTAATATTTTAATTGCGTGCCTAAAGTAAATTACAGTGTCCAATAATTAAAAAATACCTAAATTATAATATTAAAGCGAGGGCCATAGATGATTCAATGGTAGATGGTGCACCTCGATTTATCTTGAAGGGAATTGTACTTCTAAATTCCGCTATGGTATTTGAAGGTCTATTTATCCTAAGTCTAACATTCTGTTGGGGTGACATAATCAAATAAAGGCATTGTGAGTTTTTCGGGAAAGGAGCACTCCTAATTTGAGCCAAATTAGACTTGAATCTATAACTTACTTTCATGTGGTAAAAAAAGGGTAAGAAAAGGTTTTGTAATCAAATTAAAGTAATTCAAATTTAAAAATTAGGCCCAAGTTCAGCCACTATCACAGCACCTCAAGCTAGGCCAGTCGAGTTTCATACATATTTTAATGGGCACAAAGCTAAGGCCCACCAGGAGAGGGGGAAATCCTCAAGCATATTCCGGATAAGCCATAACCATGGCCCTTTTTCGGCACTGTGCTTCCCAAGTAAGCCCAAATGACGAAAGGAGAGGGATAGCTAATTATTTGCATGATTCACGAGCAAATCTAAATCATCCATAACAACAATTTAAACACTTGAGGGAAATGACTTAAAATACACAATTGTAACCTACTAATGACTATGATGCCTCCCTTGACCTAAAAATACTTATAGCACCTTTTCAAGTAATAGACGAAAATTAAATGATACAATCAATTCTATACACATATACATACTATTTACAGAACAAAAAATCATTGACACTTAAAACTTCAAAAAAAAGAAATCAACTACAGTCTGGCATTTACAAATTTGGCCATTTTTCAAATACAACTCTTGATAATTAAAGCCTTCCAATGTACACAAAGTCAATTGCCGTAATGAATCATATTGTTTGATTTAATCTTCAGCTCCAAACCTTTCCAACAACTTCCAACCCCTTCTTTTAGCATTAGAGCTTACCAATCTAACCAATTAGTGGTCAGATTTGCAAGCTTCAGCTAATAACCAATAATAAACAACTCAATACACATTTACTAAGCTCCAAATAAGAAGAATATGGTAGAACTCCTATGCATTCCACAACTAAATCTGCTTGACCTTTAACAACATTTTCAACCTTAAAAAAAGGACATTTAGTAACTGATGCCTTTATGCTATTCATGACTAACATGAAGTTTTCTGGAAAAAAAAAAGAAAGGGAAGAGAAGAAGGTAGCATATGTAGCATGTTTCCTTTTACTGCAAATGTCCCTAGACCATTTTCAACATCCCCATACTTCAGACATTACACAAGGCAACTAAAAATATCAGAATGCAAAAAATAAAACAGATTTAAACTTTAAAACAGGCAGGAGTTCCAAAATTATTACAAGGATGCACAATTAAACTTCATTCATACTCAATGCTTGAGGAAATTAGCCTTTCCTTCAAAACCAAGCTCAAACTAAAGCATACAAAGTTCAAAGAAAAATACCTAGAAGAAAGGAGGGAAATCAACTCAAAGAAACAATGAAATCTGCAGTAGCTCAGCTCAAACAACCAGACGTGAAACCAAAACCCACAGCCTTGTTCCAACCTCTGAAAAATTCCCAGCAAGACCCAAAAATAGCAAGAAACTCGAAAATTTTCTTCAGAATTTTTTGGAAAAGAGCTGATTTCAGCCATTTGTGTTTTTTCACCCTTTTTTTCTGTACCCTAATAATTGGAAAATGGGTCTTTTATAGAGAGTATTAGGGTAACAACATCAGATGTTCTTAATTCAAATGCACCATTAAAACTTTTATTTTAAAACACTTACACCCCTGCCCCAAAGAATATTCCCCCTCCTTCATCTCTAATAGAATCCTTGTCAGCTTTCTAGAAGCTTCCTTTAAGCCTTATCCAATTTTCAAAACCCAACAACCCTTTTTTTACCTTTCTTTTTTTTTACTGTTCTATTGGAGATTTTACCAGTAATACTGGGCCTGGGTCATTTAAAAATTAAGCCCAACAATTCTTGGGCTTTCGTACCAAGTCTGGGTTTCAAAACCCAAAATCAAACAAACTTGAACAGAATTTAGAACAAACATTCAATAAAAAAACAAAAGCTAAATGAGGTCTCTTTTTAGAAACATTAAGGAAAAATAATTAAGCTAATTAATGAATTATTAATCGACTGATTAGTCCATTATGCCCTAAAAATAATCCTAATTACTCTGAGACAGAAAAGAAAAAATAAATTAAAAAAATCCAGTAGATGAATGAAGAAAGGAAAGAACTATACCGATGGAAACAAACACTTCAACAGGCTAGAAAAAGGGAGTAATGGATCCACTTGAGACTCCAATGAGCACCAAACTCGGCCAAATAGTGGGAATTATCACATTAATGTTAACCGGATTTTCATCCATGGTTAACAATTCATGCAACAATTCTCACCATGTGCCAAAACGGAAATAAGGCAGAAGCTTGGAGAAATTGGAGCGTTTAAAGCGATTTGCCTGAAATCTGACCAAATCCATGAGATAGGGCTTCTTGATATTCAAACGAACCTCCTTTGTTGACAAACTTAGGAACTCATGCAGGTTTTACACGAATTGATAATTTAATCCGGAAAATTTGGGCAAAAGGAAAAAAAGATTGGATTTTTATTTTTTGAATCTACAATTCAGAGAAATTGAGCAATCTTTTGGGAAAATCAATGGCAGGATATGAACGAGGGGATGGTGGGGATTAGTTGGTTAAAAGTTGGAGGCGTTTGGAGATGCTCTGCCGCCGCGAGGCGATTTCCGGGCGGCGGAGCTATGGCGGAAGCACGTGGCGATTTAAGAGAAAGGGAAGCCTAGGTTTTGTTTTAAGGGCCTAATTAGATTAATGAAATCAAGGGGGGGGGGGTTAGTCGTTTAAAGGGGCCAGGGCATTGAAACGACGTAGTTTTGCCATGTAACTACGTGATTTCGAGTAAAGGGGCTGACCGGGTAAAACTCTTTTGGGCTTGGGTCTGGATCGTTTTGGGGAGAAGCTTTTTTGGGCCGAATTTAGGTGTAAAAAAATGGCCCAACTTCAAAAATGAACCTCTTCTTTAATTACTTCCTTTATTTTCTAATTTTCTTTTTCTTTTAATTAAAAAGAAAATCCTACCAATTAAAAATCTTAATTTATTCAAAAATGTAAAATTAAACTAATTAGATAATTATAAAAATTATAAACAACAATTAATTCTAAATTAAAAAATAAAAAATCAATAAACTAAAAATTAAAAGACAAAAATGTAAAACTAAGCTATTTTTGTAATTTTTAAGTTTCTATAAAACAACTAATCACTGATTAATTCTAAAAATACAAAAATAAATCCTAAATGAAATGCATGATATTTTTTGGTATTTTTTTATGATTTAAATAAAAATTAAATATGCACAGAAATGCAAATAATTAAGAAAATTCTGGAAATATTCCTAAAATTGCAAATAATTAACAGAAAAATCTATTTTCTTGGGATTCGATAGGAGTAATTCATGTAGAGTAAAAATTATATGCTCACAGTTATTGTGGGATTTACTACCAAATCCATTTTGTTAGACAAAAGGTTTGGAGAATTATTATCAATAGGAGGTTGTGACACGTTTTTGCCACTTGTAGTGAGGGTGTCTAATGTGCCATGCAATGGTTATACTCAGTTTATATTTCATAATATGAATGACCATATTTTGTTTTTTGAAAATTTCTAATGATAATACAATTACAATAGTTAAGGAACAAAAGAGAAAATAAAAAACATATTTCAGGAAAAATATAGAAAATATAAGATTTATAATTAGAATTTTGATTAATAAAAGGCATATAGTATACACATAACTAAAATTGTAATAATTAAAGTCAAAAAGAGAATAATACTCCATTCGTTTCATATTGTTTGAGGTAGTTTGACTCGGCACAGAGTTTAATAAACAGGAGTAGACTATTGCCAAATTACCTTAAGTACCAATTTTACCCTTAAGGGCCCACATACTAGCTTTTTAATGAAAATCATGATAAAGTAGATACTAAGTCAAATGTGGCCCACATGTCACATCATCTGCTACATTAACTAAGTCAAAAAACATTTCCTTCCATGGCTACTCTAAGATCAAAGGTCCAGTGCGTCAAATTTCTTACGTATGTGAAATTTCTTCCACTCTTGTGGCGACAAAAAAGTTGTCTCTTTCATTCTTGTGGCGCCAAAAATTTCTCTTTTTTAATTTGGTGAAAAATTTGTCTATTTATGTAGAGATATTTGAGATTATTCACTTATGCTTCACTGTTTTTCTTCATAATTCTGTTTTATCTTCTAGTGTTTCTAATTTTCTCTTACATTCTGATTTTAATCCTATTTTATCTAGCATATGTGATTAATTATACACAAATGAGTGACTCGCAATTAGACTCAATTATTAGACAAAGACGACTAAAAAGTAAGGAGCGTCATGCTGTTGCCGAATGGCTTTTGAAGGAAAGCAAAAATGGAGTTGTTAAACATGGGTCTTTAAAGCAAGCTGTGATTTTATTTAATACTTCAAGGAGTACTGTGGAAAGAATTTGACAACAGACAAAATTAAGTGTTGCTAATGGTGCTCCATTAAATGTATCTCCACATCTTGTAGGCAGAGTTGGGGGAAAACGAGTTTGATATTAAGAAGGTCACATACCAATGTCGTAAAGCCTTATTTGACAGAGGAAAATAAGAAGGCAAGACTTCAATTTTGTCTACCAATGATTGAGTCTAGTATGCTAAATTCAAATCCTATATTTTCAGACACGTTTAATTATGTTCATATAGATGAAAAATGGTTCTTTTTGTCGAAAAAATCTGAAAAGTTCTATCTTCTCCCCGAAGAACAAGAGCCAAATCCATATAGATCTTGTAAAAGTAAAAATTTCATAACAAAAGTTATGTTTATGGTTGTTGTTGCGCGCCCTAGGCCTGTTGAAGATGGAACTGAGTTATTTTTAGGAAAAATAGGAATATTTCCTTTTGTGTTCAAGGAACCTGCCAAAAGGAATAGCAAAAACAGAGTAGCTGGAACCTTAGAAACAAAGCCTATTTTATCAGTCACTAAAGATGTCACTAGGAATTATTTAATTGAAAACGTTCTTCCAACGATTCGATCAAAATGGCCACTTTCGCAGTCAAATGCTCCTCCAACAAGATAATGCGAGACCTCACCTTAGTGTTAATGACTTGCATTTTACCGAAGCTTCTCGGCAAGATGAATTTGATATTAGACTTTGCTTTCAACCTCCTAACAGTCCAGATTTAAATGTTTTGGACCTCGGATACTTCAGAGCTATTCAGTTTCTTCAACATCAAATGGCTCCAAAAACTATTGACGAGTTAGTAAATATAGTTGAGAAATCGTTTAATGACATGACAGTTGAACGACTGAATCATGTGTTTCTGACTCTACAATCTTTCATGGTTAAAGTGATGAAAGATAAAGGTGGAAATAACTACAATGTGCCACATATGAAAAAGGACATGCTAGAGCGACAGGGAACTCTTCCTACTCAAGTTTGTTGCGACATTGGTATTGTTAATGAAGCTCTAGCTCTACTTTAAGCTAGAGTAATAGATCAAGGTTATCTGCAACTTATTTTTGTAAATTTCATCTTTGTTTTATAGCATTGGGTATCATGTAGTTTTTGTGTAACCTCTATTTCTGCAAAGACTTTGTAACCTCTACTTTGGAAATATGGTTAACCTGCACTTTGGTATGGTGTAAGGATGAATTCCTTATTGAAATTACTACTTGTTGGTACCTTCAACTTTTTGAAGACTTAACAAGAAATAGGAGTATAAAATTTCATTAGTGCTTTTCTTTCTCTTGAGATGCTAAAATGATTTTGTTGGAGAGAAGATTGGACTTCTATAGAACTTCTATGATCATGATGGTTTAGATTAAAATCCATTTTATAAGCAGTTACGGATTTTGAAAATTTAATGGTGTTGTTCATCACCATATGTCTTGAATCACGGCAGTATTTGTGGTCGATTATCTAGTGACTTTGGTCAAATAATGTCACTTTATAACTTCAATTAATGTGTCTTTATTGGTAATTTGGGATAAAAAATGAAGCATATAAGTAAGTTACATAGGCTCGCAATATTCCAATTTCCACGAAAATATTTGTAACTGCAGCAAAAAACATAAAAGAACCAAAATAGAAGAAGCCACATGCCAACGAGCATGGAAAAGATCTGACATGTAGTGGCTTCACTTTTCAAACATTTGACTTTTCAACCTAACCTAATAAAGTTACTATCACAAACCGTTTACTCTTAAATTCAGTGGGTCCGTGTCAGATTTTTGAAGGAGGGATGGTAAGGGTAATATTGGTATCTCAAACGAGGATTACCAAATTTAGAAATGTGTCATTTATTTTGGAACAGACTAAAAAGGAAAGTACCTCATTCAATATAAAACGGAGGGAGTATTAAGAAATGAAAGAATTCCAAGAAAAAGATTAACATGTATATATTAATTGAATTTCTCTAGTGAGAAATTTTAATTATAAAATGAAACACATAATTCTATGTTGAAAATAAAAAGAAAGAAATTAATTTTGTATTGCTTATAATACAAAATAAAAACTATCGGTAGATTGTTTTTAACGAAATAATAAAGGTTTCTCTTTTTTTACTTTTAATGAATTGAAAATCATAATTATTTAATAAATATTAAATTATTTTAATTATGTTGGGAAATTATTATAAATATTAAATTATTTGTATGTAAATACGTAAACCAAAAGATGAAAAGAAATGAAAAACATTAAAAAAACAAAAAACAAAAGAGAAAAACAAAATTTTATAGATGGTAGGAATTGAACCCTAGACTCTATCACTAAAACCCAAATTTAAATTTAGGCTTTAACTATTGCACCATCCAACACTCTATTGCTCCTTTAGTACATTAAATTTCATTTATATATGCTTTTTATGCGCTATGTATTTTTCAAAAAAAAAAAAAAAAAAGAGGGGGTGGAGGGTAACCCGGTCTGTTAAAAAAATGGACATAGCACATGTAATTCATACGTCATACTTATTTTTGACACCTCCCTCCTATAATTTGGTCGCTTGAGTTTAATTTGTTGTTGTTTTGGTTTTGTACTCTCAAATTTACCCCTATATCTGATAGTCTTGACTTGGTCAATTTTGGGACTTTAATTTTGTCACATGATTTTTTTTTGGCCTGCCACGTATATTATTTGTATAAAATTAAAAATCACTCGTATTTTTCCTACTATATAAAAGTGGCTTTAAAGTAGGAGCCCGTTGTCACCGAGCCACCTAGAGTAGAAGATTGCTGTGATCCCTGCTTGCCGACCAAGAGCACTTTAGTCATTTCATGTTCAAGTATGTTATGAATTGTCTATTATGTCCATTTTATTTTTAATGCAAATAGGGTTACGTAGTCATTTTGTATCGATATAATCTAGAAGTCACAACCAAAGACTTGCAAGTCCAAAATGACACAATGGAGCCACACCAACTCCCGAAATTACTATCCGAACTTGATATTAGTAAAGTCAACACTTAGTCAAACCTATCAACCTTCCAAATCTTTAACTTTTCAACTTTTGCCAAAAAGTACCAAATCAACCTACAGACTTCTAAATCAACATCCGGACGTACGCCTAAGTCTAAAATTATCATACGAAGCTATTGAAACCATCAAAACTCCATTCCAGAGTCATCTACATAAAAATCAAACTCTGGCCAACTCACTCTTTCAACTTAGGCTTCCAACTTTGGGACTAAGTGTCCCAATTCACTTCGAAACTCACTTGAAATCAAACCAACTACCCCAGAAAGT